AGCCGGAGTTAAACCACGACAAGGGCGCTTTCCCTCTCTCTGCCTGGCTTTCTCCGCAGCCTCCAGCTTCTTCCCCAGCTGCTGAATTTCCAGCTGCTCATCTTGCCACGCTTTGCCTCACTCCACAGCCAGGTTCTGTAGTCGCTCTTTCTCCTCATTCGCCCTCTCCAGCTTGGCTAGCAGCTCACTGTCCCGAGCCCTCTGCAGGCTTTCTGCCTCCTCTCCCTGCGCAGCTGTTTGTTGGCGCTTCTCCTGGAGGCACTGCAGCTGACCCTTTAGTGAATCTATCTCATGGGCGTAGGCACGCGCTTGCTGGCGCTGAGCTTCGAGCAGCTGCTCTTCCCGCTCCTGCGACTCTCCTAAGCACGTTTCTCCTGGAAGGAGTCGAACCGCTGGGAGAGCTTTCTGGCCTGGGCAGTGGGCCGAGCACTTCAGCTTCCTTCTCCCTCGCAGTCTGCCCGAAGAGTGCTTCGTTCTGCCGCAGGCGCTCATTCTCCTCCCACAGCTGCATATGCCATTTCCTGTGTTCGTCCTTCAACTGGATCATTTTTTCGCAGTTCTTGGCCAGATCCCTGAAGCGCTCCCCCAAATGCTGAATCCGTTGGGTCTGGGGTTTGATTTGCACAGTGTCCTCTGTCCGTTTTTCCAGCTCCATGTCGAGCTGCTCCAGATGTCTGCAGCATTTGTGCACATTGCCTTTTTTCTTAGGGATACAGATAAGGCGATGCTGTTGTTCCAGGCGTGAATGTAGCATCTCACTTTTCTCCTCACTGGGGCTCTCCCAGAGTTTCTCCAGGCCTTTTGTCAGATCTTCCATCTCTTTGCCTGTCTCTGGATCACTTGTGGGGTTGTCCATCCCTGCCTCTCTCTCATCCTGAGCCTGGGCCCCGTGTCACACAAAGATGCGACAAAATTTGACAGTGACTGCTCCTCTTAGTGACATTCAGCATCTTTAAAAGGTGCCCGACTGCTGTGTGGCCAACACCACTGCAAAAAGCTGGTGGAGTTTCTCTGGAAGTCCAGAGAAACCGGTGCGGGGGGCAAAGGACCTCCCGAAACCTGCAACCCACGTGGTCCTGGAGCCCTCCGCACCGGCTTCAGAGTCAGCAGGCGATGAGAAGGATGCCAGACTGCACGATGCAAAAGCAGAGAATGCAGGCTTAGTATTTATGCAGGCCTATTCATTAGCTGATTACTGACTTTGCTAATTATTCCTTCTGCAAACGCTGCTGTTGTAGTTACGAGAACTACTATTGTATTTAGGTAAAAAGCTTGTAAGTGATAAAGCTGTAAATAATTCCTTAAGCAATCCTTTCCTCCGCCTTCATTTTCTCCTACAGATCTGCTATTATAAATGGAAGTAAACCACCACAGGGTGTTTTAGGACCAGCTCAGGGTGGTGGGCTTATTCACGGGAACAGGAGGCAGAAGAAGGAACGGGAGGTTGTTGGACACGGAAGGTGAGAGGTGGGACTTGGAAGCACCTGGTTTCGAGGAATTAAAAATGGTGTAATTTAGAACACATACACGCATGTATACATAGGTGTGTACCAAAAAACCCCCATCTGGGCTAAAGCTGAGCTCGTAAAGTGAAGGGGGAAGAAAAAAAGGGGAAGTGGCGTGTTTCTCTGGGCAAGGATGTTCAATACATCAAGACATTGGAGGAGCACAGCTGCATTAGCATAAAGGGGAACTGCAATTAAGAATCAAAGCCTAGCTCTTAAGTAAACTGCCCTTTAATGAGTAACTAACTGTACGCCTTTAAAGTTTTGGTTGTGGGTGACTAGAACCTTTCCTTCTGACTGCAAAGAAACTAGTTCCTGGAAACTTTTTGTCCTAACTTCATAACCTTGCATTTCTTTATCAGCTTAATATCGATCTGGAACGCACTACGGTAGTTAGGAATGGCTACGAGCTGGGTGGAAAACTACATTTATCGTGTGAACCGTATTCCAAGGAACAGCAAAAATACCAGTGATCATTTTTTTTGAAAAAGGCCATTTTGCATTACTTTAGTCCTGCTGGTTTATGTGCTCAGAAGCAGCCGTTGCCTTCAAGCACCTTTTAATACATCAGCACCACACCCTTTTAGCAGGAGGTGAGATGTTAATGTTCCTACTCTATAATTAAATCCTACAGCATGCATAGGGTAATCAAGGCACTTTTTCCATGGATAAAACAGCTGGGTTTGTAATTTTCCCATCTTCTGAGGTTCATCTCACCAGGACATCTTTGACGTTCCTTGTGTACAACAATAAAACAATAACTACAGCTGCTAAAGCTCTGCTGAAAAAGCTTTACGATCTGTAGCTGGATGCACTCCATGGCAGAACAACAGTGACAACAATAACTTTAAGTAGCAGGAGTAGTGGTGGTGAAGCGCTACTATCCTTTTCCAAGACACTGCTGTGACTGGCTCTGCTGACCTCCTGGAAACGTAGGAGCACAAGGAAGACCCACGTTTGTACGCGGTGACAACTATCCCTGTAGATTTACCTATCATAGTCCCCATTTTCTGCACGTGCTGAAAAAAAGGTATTAAAAACTGGGGAAGAGGATGAATTTTTGTATTAAAGGGCCCATTTTTGTTACTTCGCTCAGTTTCCTGATGATCTAGGTGGGTACATATGAGTGCTGTGTCATGAGTTAGTCACGCTAATTAATTACAAGTCCAGTGAACAAGTAATCACGTAAAACACACTCAGGTAGCTTTTTGAAATTTAAACCGAGTTTTGCCTCATTTAATGTTAAGCAGCATCTCAGAGAATGACAAAATGCTGTGTCTGTCTCTAGGGTGGTTCAAGAATAGTCAGCCAGAAGATGTTATACTTGACCAAAAGAGAAGGAGATTGACCCTGTGACAGACCAAACATTTTATTTTGATGGCAGTCGCGTTAGACTGTCGAAATTTTGCACAGTGGAGAAGACAGCAGGTTTTGTGACACGTGCCTGCAAATCCAGAGGCTCACGGCCGCATCCCTACAGCTACTGGGACACAGCAATGCATTGAGGCTTCACAGGAAACACAACAGCAACTTCAAACCGGGCAAAGTGTAGGTCATGTTCGCAGCAGCCTCCTTTTTCAGGCGAAAATGAGTTCACATAGGCAGCAAATCCAGATGAAGTAGGTGCCTCTGCTATTCCAGCGTCACCACCTCTTCAGGAGTGGCTGTGTGGGATGACAGAAGCAAAGCAGCTGCTGTACCATTTAAGTCCAAATGCGCTGCTGTGCAGTGCTGTACGTGCGTCGGTCCCACGTTGTACGAGAATAACGTTTTGCACGTATGCAGAGCGTAATCTGCCACCCATCTCATCCAGAACACCCCAGGAATAGGACATCAAGACAGACAGCTACCCGTGGCATTTGTAAACTCCAGACTGCCTGGTACATGAGAGAGAGAGTTGGCTCCCCAGCAGGGTGAGTGGCACCTTTCCTTTTTTCCATGCCCAGTGTATAATAGCGACCAAGTAGCATTCAAATTTCTATGATTAAATTCAGTAATTGAGTTATGAAGAGCCACCTTCTCTCTCACCGAGGTGCAAGATTTCACCAGCTTTCAGACCTGCACATTTGGAGTAAATTTTTAGACCTGCACATTCAGAGCAAAGGAATGTGCATTTATTTTCAGCAAGGTTTTCTGTCTGTACTGTGTTTTATTGCATGCTGAACTGCTAACATAAAACACTGGTGTTTAATAAACACTGCATACATATTTAGCTTGAATATGCTGCTTTTATTTAGAAAAAAACCCCATATTTTGTATTTTATGCATTTATCTTTCTTCGGTAGCATGCATTTCTATTTACAAATTCCAGTCCTGTGTCCTCTGCTGCAAAGCACCTAAAGCAAGAGCACCATAATCCCAGCAGTCTCCTAACGCCGGTGCTGAAGCAGGGATAGGTTATTTTGCAAAAAAGCTGATAGTTATAGGAACAGATGAGTACACTTTGCAGAATAAATACCCAACATACTTGTCATCACTAAAACTGGCAGGATTCCATCCTTTACCATTTGAATAAAAAGGTTTCACCTCTGCCTTCAACATTTAACCACAAGGATTGTATACTAGCAAGACAATTAACGCATATATAAGCAAAGTTTTTATAACCCTGATTTTTATAGTCCATTGGAACTAAGAGTCCCCTGCAACCTGCAGAACAGGACATTGACAGTACCGCTTTAGGGAAGGCTTCTTTCATTGTAGAAGCGACTTTCACATCCTAGAAATATGCAACTACTGATAAAGGAAATATAAAAAAAATACTACTTCATGCTCATATTGCTTGCTGGAGAGATCCGACATGGCATAATGAGGATATAAACACATACTAATGAGCATGAAAAACATACTACCTGTTGCTACCTTTATTAATAACGCCTCATGACCAATACTGGAAGTGTACAGAAAGAGTTGCTCTTCATTTTTATTTGCTGGTAATTTAAGGGATCAGGAACGCTTCAGTTGGGCAGCGCAAGCATCCAGGTGTCACAGCTGCCTCTACCACTGAATCCTGAAGTGCCTTCTTTTCTTGAAGTCATTTGCAGTGACTAAGAAATGTAAGGATCCCTGAAGTTTGCATCATAACCTGCAGGCAGAAGTTTAATTGGAAATACGAAGTGACATTTGACAGCACAAAACCAGAACAGCAACGGAGCAGACTGTGAAAAGAGCTACTGTGTTCCGCTTCCAAGTTGTACCCCCACATCTTTAATTCCATTCCCCATTTTTTTTTTTGACGCTAGCAATTAGAAAGCCACCTTATTTTGACAATTTTGCAACCATTAGCATCCTGAGAGGTAGTGTATCTTCTATCCACGTGTTTGGAGAGTTCATCATCTTCTCCCAAAGGGCAGTTTCACCTGAAGTAGAATCCATCCAGTCTACAGTAGTTCCATAGCTTTTGCCTAGAAAAACATCAGTTTTAAGAGAAACATTACTTGGAGTGCTGCAGAGTTGAGCAGCCAGTCCAATCTGCCTGTCTTTAAGATGGGTTCACCTCCTCAAGTAGCCGACCTAGTACTAAGATGGGTTCACCTCCTCAAGTAGCCGACCTAGTACTTTGAAGAGCCAGTTCTACATTTTTACTCTTGAACAATTCTGTCAAATACCATTAATGAGAGTTTCACACAAAAACTCCATCATCTTTCTCCAGGCATTTTTTTTTTTCCTTAGTCCTTTTGCCCCCATCCCAAGAAGAAAGATGGAGGGTTGATTAACATCTGAGAGGCATTAGGAATAGAACAGGACACTGATTTTGTACTGACATACAACTTTGGGTACTCTAAAATTCAAATGCAGATGTACTATCCTAATCCTTCCCTCAGACAAAAGAGGACAATGAAAGGGAGAAATGTAATTACATGGAAAACATACAGTTCTTCTATCTGTACATCTTGTATTCTCCTTATGCCAAAAACCTGTTTGCATTTATAAGTTTTCCTATCCAATGTCTTCAAACCTTATCATTCATTCCTGATCTATCCTTTTATCTCCACCCAATACTATCTCTACACCACATACCTAGTTTTTGCATGTGGGAATTTGTAAGACATTACGAAGATTTTTGGGTGCAAGAATAACATATCGTGTACTTCAAGCAGTAGCAGATACAATGTACGAGCAGAGAAAGGTTTATTTCTAATATTTCTCCTTACTTGTCTGTCATCCTAACCCTCATAACACCATGATTTACATTTATTTAATTTACATTAAATTCACTCAAAGGCTGTTCAGTGATCTTTGCAAAAAGAGAAGAAATGGAAAGGAAGAGGGGAAAAAAAGACTGTATTCTGTACATTAAGGATTAATGTGATCATTAACCTGTTCCAAGGCCTATCCTGAGGCCTCCCAGGAAGTGGTTGGCTAGTTTGTTGTGATCCCAGACTGTCAGTTCTACGCAGGCTTCTTTCAAATCTTCTGGTCGGAAGCCATCGTAGACCATGGTGTGGTTGAATACTGGATTTGCAGTTTTTGCCACTGTTCTTGTTTTCTGGCGACTTTTTCTGCTAGTATCTGGAAGAATGGTACTTCGGGAAGAGAAAGCACTGTCAGTTTGCACTCGCACAGCACAGCCTGCATTAAACGCACGCTTCGGCATCAAAGGCCGTGTCCACCTTTGTGCTTCAGAGGATGGAAGGGGTGGGGAGGTGGGAGTAAGGCACAAGTGGGTTTATGTGCTGTATTATCACTAATGACACCGACACCTTTTTGTTGCTGCCAGAGATTTCCCAACCATCTTGTTATTCTTGTCTCTACAATTTTAGTCTTGTTTGTGGAAAGGAGGAAGAAATACAACTCTGCTTCTCACTTCTAGCTCCTCCCATGATATGCTAAGCTAAACCACACTCTTGCACAAACATGCTTTGTTGAGATGCAAGTGAAAGGAGGCACAATTGGGACTGGCCCTTCCACCAAGTGGCTGAGCAGACAAAATGAAAGAGCAGTGATTAGGCAGGAAGATCTCCAAGTGTTTTCTCCTTGGTGGTATATACTTACCATCTTGAAGCTGTAAGGCCTCGTAGAGACAATTTGCATTACAATAAAGGAGAATTGGATAGTAATTAGGTGGTTTTTAATTTGAATGTAGAAAATGGAGATAAGATTAGAAAGCAAAATAATAGCATTATTAGGTCACATGTTTGATGGCTTTAACCACAGTTCTTACCACTTAATAAAAGAGTTGAGCCTGTTGCCTCTCAGAAGAGGAAGGTCATGGCATTCCTTCACCCAGATGTGGACCTCACCAGTGGGTAGAGTCTTCTTCCCTGTAAAAATAAACCAAAACATCTGATTATGCTTTGTAGATCCCTTTTAAAGATTAATTTCTACAATGCAACAGTTCCTGCCCATTTGCAGAGGTGATATTTGGCCCAGACCCATTATGTCACATCTTAATTCAACATCCCCTTCTGTACTCTTGAAGCCGCAGTCTTCATCCCATCACGTCTGTATTCCTACCGTGACTTGTCTTCTGTTACAGCTAAACAAATACATGCTACTGGCCTTCTCTTTCCAAGCCTTCTAGATGAGGAGATCAGCCTGTCCTCAGTCTACACAACATTAGCATTTGTTGCTGCTTGACCATTCAAATAAGCTTCTTTGTGCTGCGAGCATATTTGATTCTCATTGACTGACTGGATTAAAGACCTGACCTGGCTTCACAGCTGTTACTGGTTGCCAGACAAGATTGATCTAAAGACAGTGTGATCTGTTTGGCTTAAAGTGCTGCATTTTAAATTCTTATTGCTGTTTTCTACTTCTAATATTGCTTGAATTTACTGTGTTGTCATTCTTTATTTAGCATATCACAATACCTGCCTGATGATTTATAATCTCTGGAATCATTAGTGAGAAAACAGGATTTTGTTACACATACAGACTGCATTACAAATCTAAAATTATAACAATGAGGTAATTTCTCCTGTAGTAACATTAAAAACAAAAGATCCTGAAGTGATCTTTGGATCTTAAACTGAATTCATGACCAGGGTGATTTAATCTTCCGGGGGGAGGGGGGGAAATCTCTACTTTTTTGTTAAAACAAGATGTCTGAATTGGCTGAAAAATGTTAAGAAGCTTTTTCTTTTAATACAAAAAAAGAACAAAAACCCTCAAAGGCCAGACAAGCCCAGACAAAGCAGCAATGCCTACCTCCGACAGGGTGTGGGACATACTGGAGGGCTAGTTTCATCTCCCCTCTGTGTTCTAGTTCAGGAGCCATTGTTGAAGTCTGAAATTAAAAACAACACAACACAAAACCCACCCCAAATCGCAAACCTTGCAGTGCACGCACAGATTTTATCACACCAAGTTTTCCACTGGAACAAGCCCGATTTCTACATAAGGCAAGTTCTTTTCCTCATTTCCTTACCCATTAATATTCCCAGTTTGCAGGACATGAGATTATAGGGCAGGTTTAACCCCTTGACAGTGCCTCAGATATGCAGCTCCTCCACTTCAGTGGGAAACAAGACCCAGGAGAGGCCAAAAGGCCTTCAGGTGCATCTTTTCCACTGTTGTGCACTTATTTAAAACTAGACCATATGCTCCTTCAGTTGGGAAACTTACCCTTTGTGCAACAGAAAGTGTACTTTTATAAACTCATTTCCATAGGAATGTTTTGCCTCATTTAATGTTATCTGAAAGTCAGCCTCCACAGGAGTTATCTTGCAAAAAGGCAGAAGAATGTCACTTCTTCACGTTCCCTTTTCCATAGAGAGCCACGGACCATTTGCAGATGGCAGTTGTTCACATTTGGTTACATTTATTGACCCAGAGCAGTTTTAAAATCAGTCGAATTAAACTAGTGCTAAAGACTACCATGACATTCCTGGTCTGTTCTGCAACATATAAAACTTTGGATTGAATGGATTTTGGGATGAACCAATGAAGTAAATTCAAGGGGAAAAGAAAAGAAACAAACAAACAAAACCCAAAAACCAAACCAAAAAACCAACACCATCAGAAAAGAAAAAGAAAAAGAAAGCAGAACCTCTGGCAGTGGCTTAGCTAAAGGTTTAGGTTTTGTCTGAAACCCATTAACAAGAGACATAAAGACATGGAATTCATTACGTCTGATATTAAACTGTTGCTGAACTTACTCAATAGGTTTACTTCATATTCTGGGAACGTGTGGCTTCAGGTATCTGTCACAGCAACGTGACGTAAGTGAAAACCACCTTGAAATTCCTACTCCTTAGGCTATGAGGAAGTTATTCCTACTGTAATAGCTAGCTACTCACTAAAACCTCAGAACTGAATGTTCCACTTACCAGTAAAGAGGTATTTATGATTACAACCAACACAAAAACCCCACGACACACAAGACCAGGCCTAAGTAAATAATGACAAGGTTTTGCACTTACGCAGTGGAAAATGCAGAACAGCAACCCCCCCTTAGTAACCTACCCTTGGCTTGAGTGGAAACCAGTTGATCTGCTTGTTGGATTTATCGTTCCAGTCCCAGGTTCCTAAATCCAGCTCCACTTCACCAAGGAAGCTATTCCTCCCAAAGGTATCATTGTGCCAGACAGAGATATTAAGGCTTTGGTTCTTTAGGAGATCCTTTTCAATTTTATACTGCCAGGGGAAAAAAGTGAGAATAAAAAAGTTAAAACAAGCTGATTTTCATCAATGCCATGTCTGAACGGTTAGAGAAAAACCTATCTGGGTTTATACATCCATAACTGCTCAGGTCTTCATTACAAAGAAAAACTCTCTTCATGTTTTCCTCTTTATTTCAAGCATCTTGAACTCCTATTTAGCTTGCGTTAGTTTGCAAGAAGTATACAACCACCAGTGTACAGTACACTGTAGAGTTAACCTATCAATGAAGGACAAAGGTACCTCTAAGGAGGAATCCATCTCATCCTAACACAGACATCTCTTTTGGGAGCATCTGGACCTGCGCCTAAAAGTTAAGGTTCCTCATACTTCATGCCCACAGTATTTCATGTCGAGAAGTAGTCTGAGACATACCCGCAGTATTTCATTGTAGACTGGATTAAAGGTTTTCTTCTTTACAGAGGTCTTACGTTTGCCCAGCTTGTATTTCTCTGGAAGCAGGTAGGTCTTTACATACCTAAAATACAAACATGCTGGTAAGAAAAGCAAGGAAGCACTTCTTCCAGCTTCCCCTTCCAAAATACACAAGGTATCTGTTTATAAAGTAAAAGAAACCCACTGAAGTAGCTGTTATGTTCTTCAACTTGTTACGCTTAAGAAATCAAACAGCAGTGGTGAAGTATAGTAATAGTTCCCAAAGTGGGACATTCCTATGGGGTGAAATCCATTAAAATGTTTCCTCAATACATAAAATACAGAGTATTTAACTATGCCTAGATATCACATTGATAGGCTGTAATCCTACTGAAAACTTATCAAAGCAGAATTTACCATCTAGGAAGTTGATTTTTAAAAGAGAACTTAGTATTGTTAAAAGAATCACAGAATCATGGAATAGTCTAGGTTAGAAGGAACCTTAAAAGACCATCTGGTTCCAACCCCCCTGCCATGGGCAGGGACACCTTCCACTAGACCAGGTTGCTCCAAGCCTCATCCAGCCTGGCCTTGAACACTTCCAGGGATGGGGCATCCACAGCTTCTCTGGGCAACCTGTTCCAGTGTCTCACCACCCTCTCTGGGAAGAATTTCTTCCTGATATCTAATCTAAACCACCCCACTTTCAATTTAAACCCGTTACCCCTTGTCCTGTCACTACAGGCCCTTGTAAAAAGTCCCCCCCCAGCTTCCTTGTAGCCCCTTCAGGTACTGGAAGGTGCTATAAGGTCTCCCTGGAGCCTTCTCTTCTCCAGGCTGAACAAGCCCAACTCTCTCAGCCTGTCCCCATAGCAGAGGTGCTCCAGCCCTCTGAGCATCTTCGTGGCCTCCTCTGGACTCGCTCCAACCAGTCTATATCCTTCTGATGTTGTGGGTTCCACAGCTGGACGCAGCAATCCAGGTGGGGTCTCACAAGAGCAGCGCAGAAGGGGAGAATCACCTCCCTTGAGCTTTGAGGTTTGAGCTTCCCATGTTAATTTATGTACCTTTTCAATTATTTGTTGGGTTGTTTAATCCAACATCTTACAGAGATTGGAAAAACAAAATCAGCTTTCATTTACATGTTAAAAGAAAAGTTTCCATTAGGAAATAAATACATTCTCTGTACTTACGGGTCTGAACGCTGTCGCTTAACATCTGCCACTGCCAGGTCTTTACACTGGCAAATAAAAATGTGGAGCTCGTTCAGCTGTTCAACATAATCAATAGCAAACTGAATGTTCCCCTTCACATCAATATTGCCAAAGTCTGCACTATAGATGCTCATTAGGCTTCCGCTCACCTGTATCACACAAAAAGAGAAAAATTTTCCAGGCATTGCATTTCACCAGATACTTCAAGATTAGCGTAGAAGTTTCGTTCAGAATTCAGACAGTAAAGAAATCAACTGCATCCCTTCAGAGGTAATAACAAAATGTAACGGGCACCATTTACACAAGCTTCTCAGCAAGCAGATGAATGAAAGAAAGGTATTTGTAAAAGATTTGCAAATATTTGTAAAGATTTTAGGACAACAGGACTCTTGAAAAAACTGACAGAAAGATTAGTGATAAAGCCTATAGGGATGAGTTATGAGGCTTGTTCAGTCTGGAGAAGAGGAGGCTCTGGGGAAACCTTACAGCACCTTCCAGTACCTGAAGGGGCTACAGGGAAGCTGGGGGGGACTTTTTACAAGGGCCTGTAGTGACAGGACAAGGTGTAACGGGTTTAAATTGATAGAGGAGAGATTTGGATTAGATATCAGGAAGAAATTCTTCCCAGAGAGGGTGGTGAGGCACTGGCACAGGTTGCCCAGAGAAGCTGTGGATGCCCCATCCCTGGAAGTGTTCAAGGCCAGGCTGGATGAGGCTTTGAGCAACCTGGTCTAGTGGAAGGTGTCCCTGCCCATGGCAGGGGGGTTGGAACTGGATGATCTTTAAGGTCCCTTCCAACCCAAACCAGTCTATGATTCTACAATTTTAAATAAAACACTGAAAATTAAACAACAAATACGCATAAAGAGAAGGATGTACAATCTTCTTTTACTCTCAACATCCTTCCACAAAATTCTACTTTTTCTCACGAAGTCCACATAAACTAATGATTTCTGACTAGCTAGTTCACTGACTTAATTATGAATCCTACATACCAGTACTGTCTGGTACTGGGAGTACAGACCAGTACTCACCCCTTTTTCTAAGCGTTTGTTCTATATAAATTGTCCCTCACTTTCAGTTACAAATGTAGGCTCTTAAGGTAAAATTCATCCCTTTGTACAGTGCTTAGAGAGTATGCTGCACTGCAGAGTCCTGAACAGGCTCCAATATATTACTTGAAAACAAGGAAAAAAACTGTAAAGCTGATTTTATTTATTTTAGGCATTTCCATGAAAGTGTTCACATAACAGAGAGGAAAGAAAGGGGACAGAGATGCCAAGGGATGAAAGATAAGAGGAACAAGAAGGGAGCTGATACAATACTGAAGAAATGAGCAAAAGGAAAGTGCTGTTAAAACAAGACTTTGGTTTACATACAGAGGATAAGGAGGCCATGCCAGAAGAGCCGCTAAGATTGGTTAGAGAGCTGGGACTCTTCTTGATTCTGCCAAGGGAATAACTGCTTTCTGATGCTGTATCTGTCTCTCTGTCATCACTCTACAAAAACACCACAGAAAGAAAGTCTGTGCAGGTTCTTTACAGTCACAAGGAACATTAAAAAGAACAAACAGAATTTTAATGCAGATTGAGACTCAGTGAAAACCTGAATTTAAATCCCCTTCTAGTGCAACATGAGTAAGCAATGTTTTTTTAATTAGGCCATGCACTTAAAAAGTTGAAAGGGAATTTTTTCTGATGGTAAGCCTACATTGAAAATTTTTTAAGGCAGTAATGCAACCAGGTTTGTTTTTTTATTTTGTATCTCAAACAGCAATGAGAAAGTATAAAGTTAACTTTATGGGGACAATTAAACTCAACTTTTCTACTTCATCTCACGCATAAACTTCTGAAAGTGATAACGCTCAGGTCTCTTACCAATCCTTTCCCATTCTATAGCAAATACTATCAACTGTGTACCCTCTATCAGCAGGGCAGCTATCGGGAAGGTAACAGCCACAGTAGGACAGCCTTTTAAGAAGGCAAGCAGGGCCCTGCTTTTCCAGCAAGGAACTGAAGTTTTGGTTCACTTAGTCACTATTCAGGTTATGTGCTGACAACCCCGTTCTGTCTCAATGCTATCACTGTACTAAAGAATTGATGCTTTACTTCCCATGTGTGCCTTGGCACCTTCCTGTGCAGAGAAAACACCATCTCCCAGCTGTATTCCACCCATGAGCAATTTACAAGGCTTCCCCCCTCCTTTATACAGTTTTGAACTGCTGTTATAGATCATCTATTAACAGATGCAAAATTAGTAAATAGCAATTTCTACACACATTGAGAAACTGAATATTTATAGAAATAAATAGCATATAAGCATTTTGAATGTGCCTTTATAAAGATCCATTGATTGTGCCTTCTCTGGCTATACCTACACTGCTGAGTAAAGCAGGCCTGCATTGCTCCCCGGCTCAGAAGCCAAAGGTAAGGACAGACTAGTGTCCATCCTACCTAGGGCAAGGGTCCTTGAGAGAAAAACATATGTTTGAAAGAGGTATTTGGGACTGTCCTAAATAATTTCAGGGACCGAAGTAACAGTTAAGCAGTGCGGATAACCAGTCCTGTTACACAGACTCTTTAGAAGACAGGAAAACCCTAAGGCCTCTTTTAGAGGAAGGACAAATGGCCATTTCAATGGCCTAAGACCATTTCAGCTGCTGTCCGCACAGTGGGTCAGCAGAAGAGCTTCAGGACTGAACCCAGTTCTTCTTACTTTCAACCCTGTCTTTAATTTACTCAGCAAAGCATGCTCTCTGGCTGCAAACAGTCAAAGCTCTTCTCCTGGAGGTTTGTGGAAAGCCTGGAGGTTCAGAGACAAGGAATTATTAAGCACTTGGGTGACTGCATGCCTCCAGAACACATTACACATGTGATCGTGGGCTTTTTTAAAGTTAATTCCAAATGTTAAATAAAATCATTGTTACTATTCACAAGGAGAGAACCCTTACTTTTTTAGCCTTTTATCTCTTTTAAGCAGAAGGAAAGCCCACTGGTACTCTAAAAGATTGATTTATATGCTTTTCTTTTTTAATTAGAAAGTTTGTTCTTATCAGAATTCATTATTTTAAAAATAATTCCAGAACTGAACTAGCACAAAGAAAGGAGTGTTAATACTATCGTAACTACATGGTGTCTACAATGCTTATTTCTGTAATTTCTACCAGATTTGCATTATCCATTCTTTAGGTTTGTGCTTTGTGTTGGCCAGGTGGTACTTCAGTGGTGATAAACTCCAAACCAGCACATGGTATACATACATGCTGTATTTATAGATATACAGTCTGTTTATACACACACACACGTATATGTGCACACGTGTGTGCATGCTTATGTCTTGTTGCTCACAGCATCCTGTACTGTGACCTTGACAGCTCAAGACAGAATTGGGACTAATGGCAATTTTAATGATAAATTTGAGGGGCATAATAAACAGATCTGGGTTCTGAAAATTTCTTAGACTATCCATGTGAACCTTCCCCAAGCCCCTTCTACTGTAACCAGACTGATTACATAGAATCCTTTGGCTTTCAAGCATTTGTCAGGCTGTTTCGTTCAGAACACGAGTCAAGTTTTTAATTGGCTTCTCACATAGGCTGTGACTGGTTGGTTTTAGACAGTCAGCCGCTCATTTCAGACTTGTTTGGTATCCCACCTCTAATACTTTGAAATGCTGATCTTTTGAACCATCCATGGTACAATGTTAACAACCTCAGAAAAGGTTCCTGTGCATTCTTCTCAGCAGAAGGGGCATTAGGATGGTGTAGGTTTAGAGAACCTTTAATTAAAGAGGTGTAATTCATGGACACTGAATGGTTCTGAGTTCTGCACTTGAGGTAAACTACAAGGCCTACAGGGAAGCTGGGAGGCGACTTTTTACAAGGGCCTGTAGTGACAGGACAAGGGGTAAAAGGGTTTAAATTGAAAGTGGGGAGGTTTAGATTAGATATCAGGAAGAAGTTCTTCCCGCAGAGGGTGGTGAAGCACTGGAACAGGTTGCCCAGAGAAGCTGTGGATGCCCCATCCCTGGAAGTGTCCAAGGCCAGGCTGGATGAGGCTTGGAGCAACCTGGTCTAGTGGAAGGTGTCCCTGCCCATGGCAGGGGGATTGGAAATGGATGGGCTTTAAAGGCCCTTCCAACCCAAACCATTCTATGATTCTATGATTAATCAAACCTTTTGATTAATTGATTTTTTGGTTATTTCAGACTTTAGGAGGTAGACAGGCCATAGCATATTCCCGATTCTGATGCTTCAGTCATTTTAGACACTTGTTTTAGAAAAATAATCCAAAATATTGCTGTTTATGCTGCAGTTATATTGATAAGGGCAGGGTAAGCATCAATTCCTCATTTTATAGCACAGACACAGGGTTTGGGGTTTTTTTTTTATATCTATGCCCCAAATTCCTGTGTCCCACTTAAGCCAGTGTCCACTGATACACATCCCTCATTGACAGGATGTGGGTGTTTGTACCACCATTTGCTAACAGTCTGGGGAAGGGAGCTGTGCATGTACTTTTGTCATACAAATTCATGTTCACCCTATGGCACTCAAAAAAAAAGAAAGTAGGAAAAAAACTATGGTGTTACCCAAGTTTAATAATGACAAGGTATTTCCTATTCTCCAGAGCTTCCTGTTCCCTGTGACCAATACCTTTTAGGCATTTATGGCAGGAGGTTTGTGCTTGGCCTAAACAATCTCCACTCCTCTCCCTACTGAATGTTTGGGTCAGGCAATTCAAATTGTTTATCACTTTCAAGCTTCAGTGTCATTTTAGGTGATTTGAATACAGCCTCAGAGCTTACTCCAAGGCCCACACCATGATGATGATGATAACAATAAAAGACTGTAAGCCTATAATTATTACAGGCACAGTATGTCGTTGGAAACTGGAATTTCACTTACACGGAGTTAACAGCCTGGTACCTGAACCTACATCCCTAAGCAGAACACCAAGCTAACATGCCTCGGAGAAGGGTTACAGATGGTGACTTTCCTACCATTTTGCATGCTCATTCAGGATTTTAGGCTCTGAAGAAAATAAATGTATGCACATATGTATGTTCTGAAGAAAAAATAACACTTGTTAGCTTAAGGATAGAGATTGCCTTTGGGAATAACAGCAAGCATTCACTATGCTTCCATCTCCTAGATGAAACGTGCGCTGTATGTTTAGCTGCACAGTGAGAATAAACCTCTAGTTGCTGGACTAAAGCTGTTGAAAGGTTAATCAGCCACAGGTTGTTTGGGATCATCTCCTGATTGTTACACCACAAGCTCAGCTCCATGCCGCGGTCCAACAGTAAACTGACTTGGCAGACCCTGGGAAGCACTACCTGACAAATGCATAATGCCACAGGAATCAGAAATTTTAGTAATAAAAAACCAAACAAAACAAACAAACAAAAAAAACCCCCAAAAAACAAAACAGAAAAAAAAAAAAACACAGGTGGAACTTGCCTCTTCCTGTAGGAATGATGGTACTGACTTGCTGAGTCCTTTGACTTTTTCAGGATTGGAAAACAGCTTATCAGGCTGTGAGGGCACTGTGGAAACTGAAGAGCAGTAATTCCAAAGGTTTCAAAAACAAATTTGTACATCAAACCAGTGAGATTCCATAATAGAACATGATTAGAAACAAACAGCTTTGGGTGAGATACATGCACATGCACAACCAGTTTACAACTTGGATGCAAGATTTCTCCCTGCCCCCAGGACTCAGAGAAGCTATCATTAGGAAGGATTATCTACTTTGACATCTACAACACTGACCAAAGAACTTTGGCTGGAGCAGAAATGTTTGAATTCCTTGACATGATGTACAAGCCTGGGTGCTGCAAGCAAATTCTGATCAAATGTGACGAAGATGACATTTTCAGTTTATCTTCTAGATTTTCTTCCTAGAATGAGGCTAAGTGCACGCATGCACTAACCATACCCCGACTGACATTAGAGTCATCGTAGGATTCTTGGTAAGAAGTCAGTTCACAAGCCAAACTTTGTTCTTTTATTTACTGAAACTAATGGCAATAGGAACATTTGTGTAAATCAAGCAATTTTTAGACCTGAACAAGGAAGTTTCAAGTATTCCTACTTAATTATAAGATGCAGATCTCATTAATAAGTAGTTTTTGCAGCCCACCTCTTCAGCTTTTATATTTCTCTATTGAACTTCAGTTCCATGTTCTTTCATGGTACAAAGCTTAATTGCACAAGCTAGCCGTACAATAATCCAGTTTGCAGCAAGCCCACAGTTCTCTGAATTCTCCATGCTCTAACCCACTTACATTTAGTAATACAATAAAGTTCTACATCTTTGGACTGGATACACACTGTGAAATGCACCAGCACTGACTATCTTATGACCAAGGATTACTTGGCAACAAACAGCCAGCTACAGGGGCACGTATCTATTGCATGAAGTGAAACACTGCACACATGATTGGACTGTGTGCAAGGCATGAGTTAAGCTTTTGTAAAGCTTTTGCTGTTAAAGCTCAAGTAGTGCTCAACATATCAGTTACTGTCAGTATGCAGTTAGATGCAGTTTCCCCATTGAACCAGGATCTGGTCTAGATATATAACTTGTTAGTTGTTAAATAAAAAAGGATTTTTAATGTATTAGATTACATATGAGTGGAGAAGTCTCTCCATTGTCTGTTGGAAGAATCCTATTACTCACTTCCTGCTGCATTTTCATTCCTCTCTCGATGCTGATCAGATTTTGGACCTGCTCAGTATTGACAACAGTCATTCAGTAGCACAAACACCTTTGCAATCTTATAAATAGCACCAGTATATTTTATGCGTGGGAACTTTTTGACTTCCCAGACTCTCTATGTTTTTGTGGTTTACATCACTGTCCTCCTTTGAGGAGCTGGATCATAACAAAAGGAATATGAGTGTACAAGCTAGGCAAAGCAAAAAGATCAAGAGCTTTTTCAGGAGAGCTTGCCTTATTTTGTCTGGACAGCAAACTATTTGGCAGAGTTTGTCATTTTTTCAAAACTTTGCTCTTCATAAATTTAACTCAAAAACCCTCAGCCTTTTCAGATAAGCATCTACACATTCCATACTGAATATATAATATGCTTTCCATAGCGGTCTCCATTTGAAAGCCAAATGCAGTGCAGTACTACACTCCTGTTAAATTACTGGACACCACATGCATCCCATTACACTATGATCATCCTATTATACTATAGGCCACTAACATGCAAAATGTTTTAAAGCATCCAAAAAAATGACAATAAATGCAACCGTGCATAACTATGAAACTGTAATGCCACAAAGCAGTAAATAAAGAATTGTGTTATATTCCACGTTATTCGATGGTTTTCTATTCTGTTCATCTTGACATGTTCTTGGAGCAGATTTGCTTTTGTTTTGCTTAGATTTGGAATTTCTGAAAGTATATAGAAAAATTCAGCAGTAAGGCATCTGTGATGCACTAACAGACTGATGATACCCACAGTAGCTGATCTAGCAGTTCGTCTATTGCTTAGAGTAATTCTACTCTGAATTGAGACAGGGATTGTAAGAGAGCTTCCTTTCAAATTGATGTATTCTGAAGAGGGTTTTTCACTAGCAAAAGTCACTTTGCACCTCATAAAGCAAGAGATCAGAGACAAGTTCGCTAGTTACTTTATCCAAGTCTTTAAACTGACCTGACGTTGAAAACTTGTTGTGGATGCCCCATCCCTGGATGTCTTCAAGGCCAGGCTGGATGTGCCTTTGAGCAACCTGGTCTAGTGGAAGGTGTCCCTGCCCATGGCAGGGGGGTTGGAACTATATGATCTTTAAGGTCCCTTCCAACCCTAACCATTCTATGATTCTATGAACTTGCAAAGATTTCAATAACTGTTTCATAGGCTGAATGACCAAAGGTCAAAATAATACACCAGTAGGTGGCACAGAGTTTCTACAGATACAGTAGGATGTAAGTATATTCCTTAAGAATCAAACAACCCAACAACATTTCTAGAAAAGCATTTCAGTCATGCTGAAGTTAAACCTAAAAGCGCAATACAACTCTTGCTTTAAAAAACATCCTTCATTAGCAAACAGAGACCATTGAAAAAGCAGTAAAATTCCATGCAGACACAAAAGATATTTACCATCTTCAGCACTAAGAGCTAATTCTTCCTTTGGATTATTTATTTTTCCTTTATCTGTGCAGGAAAAAAGTAACAGTTAGAAAAATGTCGCTGTTCAGTACGATAAAATGGATGGCAGTGGCAATCGCAGAATTAAGAGTAACGAGGATTAAAACCCAAACAAACCAGCAGAGCCATGGGCATGGTTAAATTCAAGAGGTTCTTTCTACTCCACACACTACTTCAAGCCTAGGTCCAAGCAGCAGTCTCACGTTGACACGGTTTCTATCAGAGTGCTGTTGCAACAATGTTAGTGCACACCTAAAACCTAGAAACTAGTTAGAAGCAAGCAATAGCGTAAGTAGTATTAGAAGAGTAATTAGCCAACACCTTTCAAAAGCTGCATCTCCACACTCCAGGTTACAAACACGTTCAGTTGATGCCTTCCCCATTATACATAGGATAAACATGAAAACACTCGGAAGCAGAGTGAAGGCAGACAGGAATAATAACAAAATCCTAGGAGGCCACAGAGGGAAGGCAGGAATGAGTTTTAAATACAACCCTGTCTCACTGTATTCCCTTCAAGTGAGTTTGGCATATTAACTGCTGGAGGACACAGGTGAAACACTACTAAACTAAGGATTTTTTCATACTTCCACTGTTTACTAATTTGACCTCAGGAAGTGGCCAGGAGCCAGTGGCAGTTGCTGCTCATTACTGATTTGGGCAGTTGCCAGTACTTTCACTACTGAAAGAACTGTCCAAGAAACAGTTCATCACCACTGATTAACACAGGGCATTTTTGGAAGATGTCTCCTTCACAGACCAGTGTTATTTCAAAATTAACACAAAGAATGGAAAACTAAACTGTGTGAGAAAATAATTCCATTCTACTACGGCTTATTTAGAAACAGACAAAACCACTACTTCGCAAAGCTGTATGGAAGACCAGCATGAACACGTTTAAGCCAAACTGGGGGGTCATGGGAGACACACACAAGCTTTGTGCTCACTTGAGGTGGCTGATGGAATGTCCTCTAGACTTTTGGAAGGCATTTTCCTATCTGCACTCCTTTTCAAAGCCATCAAAACAGGGTTTAATTCTTCTTCCGAACCTGTTACGAGACAAAACACATGAACACTGCACACACAGACATGCCGTTCTACTCAAGTCACTAAAAAACCAACCATGGATTTCTCATGAGAATCTCTTTGGACTGTTAGCAAAGACAGTAAACATTCAATGAAAATACAAAATAAATCCAAAATACACAAAATAAATGGCTGATCTGAAGTGTCCTTTTGTTCTCTCGAACTTCTCTCAGCCATCAGTATGGAGAGGCAGGTTGGTTGATTTACCCTCTGTAGGTATCTCTGTACTGACGACGGTTTGGGGCAATTATGGCACTTAAATTTCTAAGAACATTATAGGATAAACTCAGACTTCAGCTATTTTGTAACCATCTTGATATAAATCAACACAAAAAGATTAATAGCTTTAGTTTTTCTCTCTGGGTAAATTTGTCTATTATATTTTCTCCCAGTGAAAATAGTTTTGCTTCAATACTCGAGTAACAACCACAAAAACCCCAGCTGTGTTGATATTTGGACCCCTGGAATTATGTAACTGTCTCCAAGAGCAGAACCAGGACAGATCTATCTGATTCAGAAACCTGTAAGACCCTTTTCTCCTCCCCTCTTCACTTTCCTCCCCATCAGCCAACCAACCAGGCCTTAGAGTGTTGCTGTTTGTAATTATGGGTAAAAACAAATTTATATTTCCTTTTTCCTTATTTGTCCTAAGTTTTCACTGACTTCCATTGGAATCTCACTTTCTAAACAGGCTCAAGACTAAGTTGGCAGGCCCTGGAAACTGCACATATTTCTCAGATTCTCCAGGTGAAGAAAACATTCCCAGTCTCTCAGCAGCAGATTACAGGGGATAAATTATCTCCTCTACCTTAAGGTCTTCGATGACTATCACACACTGTACGTTGACTAGAGCTGACATTCAACCAAATAACGAAGATCCTCGTAAACAGACCATTTATATGGCCACTTTCTAGTGCAACAGGCAGCAACGTTAAGTGAAACAGCACCAAGTCTTGGTATTGTCTTTATATCCAGCCATTCCACTGATGAAGTTTTTACCTTTGAAGACTAGTTGGTCAAACTAAAGAATGAACTCACTCAGCCACTGAAAACTCTTTTTTCCCCTTTTTTAATCCAGTGTATTTATGAGAAATACCAGATTTTGAGCATTACAATGTTATCAATTTAAAGGCAATCTCACAGGGGAGGAAGAAAAAAGTAAATCATGAAGAATGATAGAATTGATTCATGCTGCTAAACTCCCCTTCCCAAAAAGGCTTAACCAAATGTAGTACGTGTTTATCAAACACCTTCCCATTAAAGAACTCTATTTGCTCTTCCCATCCTTCACAAACAATTATCCAAAGCATTCAGTTAAGAAATATCACACAGACTTTTGATTAACGCATTTCAAGTTGGCTACCAAAAACCATCACAGCCATTTTTAACAACCCAGCACCATGAGTTTTAAAAATCAAACAGCTCACGAGTTGAATTTTTGGTTCCAGAGTGGGACTCAGAGTTTTCATCTGAAAACTTGGATCCCAAATTTGAGCCGTCCCCTGCCTCTTCATCATTATCCTCGTGCTGAGACATTAGGCAGAGTTGAGCTCCTTCTGGCTGGAGGGAGTCGCTCTCATCTTTACATGGTATGCTTGCTCTTCTGAATGTCATCAGTGTGTTCAAATCTGAATTCTTTCCAGAGGCATCCAAGTAGCTGCTTTCATTTCTCCTTCCTTCTTTGTTTGTCTTGAATAGCTTGATTGCAATCATATTGGTCTCTCTTTCTGAGGGAGGAAGATCAACTACAGCCACGTTTTGCTCTTCTATTTTATTAATAGCTCTACTTCTTTTACAAAGATCAGAAGCTTCAATTTCACTTCCTGCAAGATCATGTACTGAAGCTTTGATACTTTGTTCTGCAGGTCTCCTTTTGATAGCTATCTTCATCTCTGTATGACAGCTACCGAAAGCGTTATGTGGCTGTGACACTGGCACGCACAGAGTCTCTTTTTGTGAAGGAAACATATGAACCCCAAACTCTTCTTGTTTATGTAAGTCGTCGGATACTGGACACGAAACTTCAGATGTTTCTTGAAGAAGTTTTTCTAAAGAGCATCTGAATTCACTGAATTTTGCAATATTTGAAACCAAAGTTTTTTCTATTGTGTCTTGTATTTCTTGAGGATGAGCGCTCGCTTGTTGATGTAGAGCATCAATACTTAGTTTAGTCTGTGTTTTACCTTGCATTTTCTTATCCATATTTTCCAGCACAGAGGCTGATGTTGCAGAGACATTTTCTGGTAGCTTCTGCAAATTAACATAAAATACTCCATATTCAGCCTTGGACAATTCAGATCTTTCGAAGGTCTCACCAATTTCCTGCAGCAGCTCTCCATCACGCTCGTAGGTCATGCTCTTAACTTCAATCTCCGCAGTCGTCTGTACTGTGCTGTCAGCACGTTTTGGTT